AAAAATGTTTCGAAAATTGTTTAGTTTTAAAGGAGTAATAAAAAGTAGTAATAAAACACTATCTTGATAGTAGTGTCATTAAAGCGAGATTGTCGTAATTTTTTAAAATATAAATAATAATTAATATGAAACTTTTCGAGAGAGAAAGAGAGAGACGTTACTTATTAAGATTACTGTTTTATTGCTTCCTTAACTTAAAACTATACAATTTCTGTTTAAATCTTTCTAAAACATATATTTTTTAAAGACATTTTAAATAAATATTTAAAATAGATATTTTTCTGGGTGGTATTTATAGTCCGATTTTATATTTAGAATCGTCTTATAATTTCATTCAACTAATAAAATAATGTTGCGCAACCATTTTGTTGATTGAATGAGGTTTTAAAATGATTTCGAATATAAGATCGGATTATGAACACCATCCTATATTCAATAATTTTATTTGGATTTTATCTGGATAAAAAAAGATATTCAGGGGACATTGTTGGGATCTAATTTAATCGTATGTAGGATATCCCAGGGATTTATTTTTGGATGTCCTACGGATATCTGAAAAGCGGACATTTGGATATCCCACGGATGCCCTACGGATATCCTACGGCTTTGTACAGACATCCCAGGGATATCTGAAAATCCTTTACATTACAACCCACGGACATCCGTAGGATGAAATTTTGCTATGTGGGTATATACGGGAAAATCCCAGTTGCGCACAGAATAAATCGGACACAGCAAGTTGAATAAGTCGGACACAGTGTCAATCGGACACAATAGAAAACGGACACAGTAACAATCAGACACAGTGCCAATCGGACACACGATAACGGTAATCGGACACACATAACAATCGGACACAATAAGAAACGGACACACTGTGGTTGGAATCGGACACAGTGACAATCGGACACATTGAAAATTGGACACAGTGCTAATCGGACACAATAGAAAACGGACACACGATGGTTGCAATTGGACACATGATAACACAACAGGAAACAGACACACGGTAGTTGCAATCGGACACATGCTCCGTGACAGTTTTCCTAACCCTAAAAACGTTACTATAATGACTTTAATCTGTTGATTTTTTGCTTTCTTTCTATATAATATTTTTGTATATAAAATCTTCTCTGTTTTAAGAATCTTTTAAAATTAAATAAACATAGTTGAATATAATCGAGTCATGTATTTGATTCATAAACATTATACTTAGTGTTACTCTGCGCTAAATTTGAACATTGGATTTGCATTAAATCTCGCTTTGTGTAGAAACTCAGTTTTCTATTTTATTAGAATTAATAAAAAAACGGTACGACAGCATCGTGATTTGAACTGGGGTCAGCGGCTTGATAAGCAGATACCTTACCACGCCGCTACGTCGCTTTAAAATTTTAATCTTAGCGCACTTGTTTATAACGAACACTAGAATCTCTCCCCACCGCCTCTCCACCCCCCTACACACTATTAAAGTTTGAGTATGATTTGCGTTTCTCAACTGATATACTCTCTTTGTAAGAGCACATGATATTATAGTACTGAAAAAAACATTACTTATTAGTGTAGGTTATAAGAATGTATATATTTATTTTAGTATTTAAAATATAATGGGTGCAATTGATAAATATAAGACCAGCTATTTGCTCGCTCACACAGAACTCGCAAGACTGTTCGCTCACACAACTTTTAATTATTATTTTGTACGCACAACTTTTAGCGCACAACTTTTAACGTTTTACTTTTAACTTTTTCTCGTTACTTTTCTCGTTGACGACGATCATCAAACTAAACTTTCTGAGCTTGTGGTATCCCGAATTTATAGGGATACACCGACGACACTAAACTACACACACTACGCTACTTGTTTTTATAAACAATCAAAGTTGCTTAGGAAGGGTTCCTCAAAAATGCCGCTTTCAAAAGACGCCGAATAATCTAAAAGAAAGCCGCTATCTCTACTGCGCGACACCGCTGCGTCTTTCGCACGATGCCGCTACCTTTTTGATATGCCGCCGATTTTCTCTGTCAGACACCATTTCTCTCTTTTCTTAATTTCTCTCTCTTTTCTCTCTCGCTCTTACATCACACTTATACACATACATTGCGGTCTATTTTCTTATCCTACATTAGCAAATATAATAGAAGGGCATCAAGAGCCGTAGCAGGATGTTAGTGCTAAATTTTTAATTTTTCCATAAGAATTTTTAAATTAATCTACAAGAGACAGTTAGATTGTACACCGATCTTAGATCGAGATAACTAATGTGTACGAAATTATAAGTATATTGTTCTCATATATCGAGAAACTTTAACTTACATATAGGAATTATTGGAGAGAAAGAA